GGTGGCCATAGGGGTTCCCAGCGAGACTGTGGGTTTCTTCAAAGCCCTGTGCGCCAACAATGCGGCCCTGGTCTGCTTTGAGGGCGCTGCCGAAACGGTTTTCCTTGTGGAACGAGGTGTACGGCAGGGGGGCCCTGCGTCAATGACCCTCTTTGCTCTGGCCCTGGACCCCGTGCTGCGCTGGATCCGCGCCCGCCGTGTCGAACGTGTAGGTGTCCAATTGGCGTGCGCTGATGACTGCTGCTTTGGATTATGTGACATTCTCATCGATCTCATGCCCACCTTGCTGCTTCTCGACTTGCTCTCTTCCGCGATTGGTCTCTCGTTGAATGTGGGGAAATGCTGCGTCCTGATCTGCGGGGCGCTGAATGGAGATGCCCTCGCTGCCCACATGGCTCGGAAAGGCAGCCGTTTCGCCTCAGTCCGTTTCGCCACCAGAGTTTTGTACTTCGGATTCTGGGTGGGCCCATCTGCCCATGAGGTGGCCTGGGTGGAAACGATGAGTAAGTTCTGGCAGCGAGTTCGTCTTCTTCGCTCTCTCTCGCTGGGCTTGGCGACCACCATCCGCCTGTTCCACTCTAATTGCCTCTCCGTCTTGCAGTGTCGGATTCAGCTGGTGAGGGTCACCCCAGGGGTTCGGCGTCAGTATAGGGAAGCATTGCAGATGCTCACAGCGGGACCTCGGCATGCATTGACCTACGCTATGCTCACCCAGTTACGTGACCTTGGGATCTCACTTGAATTCGTGGACCTGGGACTGCATGATAACGCTACGAAATTTCGGGTGGTAATGCGGCGCAAGGCATTAGATGATGCGCTTTATGAGTTAGATGGCTTAGCTAGTGGCTTGACTGCTGATGAATTTATTCCTGCCCGTATGTTTTCTGGGTGGTGGTGTCATTCGATGATGCGCACGACGAATGAGGATGCGGCGGACCTCGTGAACTCTCCCATTGATCGAACTGCCCGTCTTTTCCAGGCCAAGGTCCATCGGCACTTACGGTCGGTTCGTATGGCTGCCACTCCATTGCTGTGTCTGGGTGTACGGGTATCGAGGTGGTTAGTTGCAGCATCTCTCGAGGATATGTTCCGTCTGCGGATTAGATTGCGCGCTGCGGAGCGTGCCACGTGCACCCATCTTGCTACCAACGTTCTCCGTGTACTGTCCAGGGGCGTTTGTACTTCGGCACGTTTTCATGCGAATGACCGTGGGTGCTGCTTTGGGTGCGTGGCCCCCGATGACCTTCACCACTACAAAATCTGTGATCGATTCCGTGACTTGGCACTGCACCGTCTCCCTGGGTTGGAAGCATTACCCACGCCGTGGAGGGAGATGTGGCAGCACCGAGATACCTGGCTTACCTGTCTGTGTCTGATGGGACCATCCTGGGGGCTCGACCGCGACGTGGCCTGTGCTGCCTTCATCGATGCATTTCTGAAGACACATGCCCATCATCGGCGCCTGACGCAGGTCCCCTCGTCCCAGGTCTTCGTTGCCCGATTGCGTCTTCTGGCTCGTCGGTGTACTGGTGTTGCACGACAGTTCAGGGCACGGCGTATTGGGCTGGCTGCCACGTGAAGTGATGTCGTCTGAGTGTGACCGCTCCCTTTCATCCCTCGCGCGTGTGCTCTAGTGCTCCTCTCTGTGTTCGCTTGCCTCTCCTGTCGCTTGCTTTCTTCTGTCTCCCTGCCTCTGCCGCTGCCCCTTCCTGCAGGGTGGGCGTGGTTGGGTCCTCGGTTTTTCCCGCCCCTGCCTTCCCCTCTTTCCCTTGCCTTTCTTCCGGCCCGCCCCCTCGGTCCTCCTGCTGCTTGCGCTCCGCCGCGCGCGTGCTGTTGCTGCTGGGGTTCGGCCCCCGCCTGGCTGGGGGAGCGCGCGCGGGGGCGTGCGTGCACCCGCCCCGCCGCTCCCTGCCGCCCCCGCCGCCCGCCCCGTCGACGACCTGTTCAACTGTGCCCGTTGCGCCTCTCTGGGAGGTAGGGTGCCTGCCTCTCGATTTTGTCTAGGCGTGTTTCGTGCCTGGGTTGTGGGTCGTGGTGACGGTGGCCTGGGTTGCAAGCGCCCGAGGCTTGTGGGGCATGGACTCTGTCCTCCCCCGTCGCCGAGTGCGACCCCCCGCTGCCGAGGGCTCTCGTTCGGGAGGGTCGGTAGCGGGTGGTGCTGCCCCGCCCCGCCCCGCGCGCGAGGTACCTCGGTACCTCCCGCGGGTGGGCGAAGATCGGCCGCCGGTCGTGCGCGGGCGTCAAGTACCCTGTCCTTTCTCTCCACCTTCGCTGCTCCTCTGCTGCCGCTGCTCCCCCCTCCTGCGCGGATTTCGACGTTGGCAGGCGTGGCCTGCTGTTGCGCTGCTGCCGCAGATCACGGATTGCGGACCTGGGATGGAATATTGATGCGAGGGGGAAAAAAACTCCTCCCCCTCCTCCACCTCCTCCTCCTCCTCTTCATCGGGTCGCCTACGGCCCCGGGGGAAACTGTGCACCCAGTACAGGTTTGTAGAGCATTTTTTTCGCACTCTGAAGGGTCAGGGAGCTATGCGCCAGCGCCCGCTCTGTTGTCCTGGCCAATCCTGAGCCCAGGCATTGGTGCATGAGCCCTCCTGGCCGCGGCCGGGAGGGCGCAGACGCCGACTCTTTGCTCCGCGTGGGCATGGCAGAGATCTGCGTTGGTGCACCTCTCCGTCCATCCCACATCCGTTGCACGTCTTGTGCGTCGAGCCATTACTTCGACATCCCGTCCGCGTCAACACCGAGTGAACCGTGCTGTCAACAGTCACTCTGTCAAGGTGGACCCCATCATAATCATATACCGAAGTCATCCATCCGCTAATCGGCGCGAGGCCCTGGCAGCCATCGGGATGCCAGCCAGTAGCACGCACCAGGTGGATCCGCTTGCGCTGCCGCGCGATTCCGCCGCCGCGTTCGGGCGGGCGCGGGGGGGCTGGCCTTGTGGGGCAGCATGGGGGGAGGGATCACGGACCCCCATTTCATCAGGCGATCGCAAGCACGGGTCAAGGGGGCGTGGACTAGCGACGGGTCCCGGTTCCATTGGAAATCGCGGGTTTCCGCCGCCGAAAGAGGCGACACCGGCCGCATCTTGGGGAGAGCACCTCACCCGATCCATGGATTTGGCGACCGCGCGCCAAGCCCATGGATCGCCAATCCATGTTTGCCCTTCCCCAGCCTGTGTGTTCCGGACCGTGTTCTGCCTGGAAGGCCAACGGAGCAGGGACTCTATCACACAAGTGAGCGCATCTTGGGCTCGTTTGCGTCGGAAGGCCTTAGCTATTGCTTTGCGAGCAGGGGCCCGACGCACACGAAGCATTGCACTCCAGGTGTCGGATTGAATAAGGAATAATGAGCACTTCCTTTTCAAAAGGGGCTCGGTCGTTCCTCAGGTTTGCATGCGTTATTTACCGTTCATTATGCGATATTTATCATGTATCGTTCCTTGTGCGTTACTCGGTGGAGAACTAACGGGGCTTCGTTCCTTATTTCTCGTTTCTTAGGTCAGGTCGATGACTGACCTACCACGCACCCGCTGCAGGTCATCCTGGATTCCCTGCAGCGGGTGCGTGGCTTTGTGCATTGGGTCTGACGGACGTCAAAACGATTCCAGGCAAGAGTGCAAGGTCAGGGCGACTAGCTCGGCCTCTGGCCTAAAGGTTGTTTTTTTTCCAAGGTTGTCCGCGGTTCGGTCGGTCCAGCTGCGTCGCAGTCGGTTTTGTTCGGTCGGTTCGGCTCGGTCGGTTGCTGTGTTGTTGCCGCGTCGCTGCGCCCTTCTAGATTGCTTGCAGCCTGTCGGTTTCGGTCAGTTTCGGTTTCGCTCTTGTTTCGATGGGTTTTCGGTCGCCCTCACTTAGGCCCAAAGCTAACAAAAGCAATCTACTCTCTTACGCGTATGGTGAAATTGGTAGACTCCCGTTCGATCACCCGACGCCGATACAGCCAACGATCTCAGATCATGGAGTTGTTGATGTTTCTGGACCAACCTGCGACCCAACCAAGACCCACACCCGAGACCCGCGCTCGCTACCCACTGGCGACCTACACGCATTGTTATTCAAACGAAGTGTTGCCTGCGGCGGGCTGGTGTGTAAGAAAGCTGCGCTCGCAGCTGGCTTCTTCACACGGGCTTCGAGCCTCGCGAGCCACCTGGTGATCGTTTTCTTATTCATTGTTTTGCCGATCGGCGCGGGCCCTCGCACCCCCCCATGGAGTAGATCTTGCATGTTTTTGGCGCCTGTTTCAAGCAGACACAGGACGCACTGGTGCAAACAGTCGCACTAAGCAGAGGTCTGGAGCCAGACCCCCCCTTCCCATCCCCCCCTTCCGCCCAGTGTCGAAACGCAGATAAAGAAAACGTTCACCAATCCCACGATCGACCCACCGTGTTTTGAACATCATTCGGCGCCAGCTGTGTGCTCATCGTCTGACACATTGGCGCCTATGGCGGGCCTCGTTGCACTGGTGCTCGAGCCGCGCGGCCCTGGCAGGGCAGCCCCAGGTCTCTCTCTCTCTCTCTCTCTCTTTTGTTTCTCTCTCTCTCTCTCTCTGTCTCTGTCGTAAAGGCAACTGCGGGGCGTAGGTATACAAGCATAGCGTAGCCCAGGAGGTAGGAGAAGGAGAGGGAGGAGGAGGAGGAGGAGGAGGAGGAGGAGGAGGAGGAGGAGGAGGAGGAGGAGGAGGAGGAGGAACAGGGACAGGAGGAGGAGGAGGAGGAGCAGGAGGAGGAGGAGGAGGAGGAGGAGGAGGAGGACGAGGAGGAGGAGGAGGAGGAGGAGGAGGAGGAGGATGGCGATGGTGACAATTTTTTCCCGCACCCTCCGCCTCCCCAGACCTCCCGCGTGTTCATCTGCTCAAATCGTGGGCCCCAGAGCTCTCGACCCCTTCCCTTGGACCAGCTTCTTCGCGCCAGGCCAGTGTTCGCCCAGAGCAGAACTCGAGGAGAAGCACGGAATTGGATCATCGCGGCTTGGGATGTCTGGGTCTCGCGCTCGCGCCAGGCTGCCAGCAGCATCGGCCACGGCTCGGAGAGGGCCTCGGAGAGCCTCAAGCGTCAGGGCGCGGCCGTGCGCCAGAAGGTCGGCAAGGCGTCCGAGGAGAGCAAAGTCTCGGAGGAGTGGCGGGGCGGCGTGGCGACTCTCAGGCGGACGAGCCGAGGATTGCGGCCAGACGTCGTGACACACATCAAGACTCAGTATCGTTTAACCGATCCCTGTCCCCATGCCCATCCACATCTCGAGCCCCACCGTCTCACCACCTCAGTTGGGGATCTGCTCCTCGAAGCCCGAATAGAGCAGCCTATATCCCCATCCAGGGGGGTAAATCGGCCAGTGGGGCCCAGCCCACGCTGGTGGTGATGGGGATCGGTTAAACGATGCTCAATGATGGAGCATCTTCTGCGAGCTTGGCCTCCTGGGGCCGTTTTTTGGGCCCCAGTACCTTCAAGCACGGCCCGGGACGAAATGCTGGTCCTTGGGAAGGAGTGGAGTGGTCCAGGGGCCGGGGACTCAAAACACCCGGCGTCGGCGGTGTGGGGATGCGGGTGCCTCTTTGGGATGTCTCTGAAAGGCTGTCGGAAGCTGTTCGTGGGATCTCGTAGGTTCTCGGGCCTGTGTGCATTTCTTGCGGTTGCGCATCGTCGAGGGGCCGACAGCCAGCTGCAGTGAGGAGGAGCGCCCCTCCGCCGTCTCCTGCTCCTCCTCCTCCCCCTCCCCGTTCTCTACAGGGACCTCACCCCTCCTCCTCCTCCTCTGCCACCCCCGCCTCCTCTTCTTCCTCCTCCTTCTTGGCACTTGCCGTCTTCACGGGTAATGCATTGATTCATCATCATCCGCATCGCCATCATATGTAATCATCATGCTGTTCCCCTCCGCTTACTCATATACCCTTCCGCCTTCCCCTCCTCGTATTCCTCCTCTCCCTCCTAAGTTTGTCCCTCTTGATTTTTTGGCATGATCCTCGTCTCCGATCTGTGATCAACATCGGCATTGTTAGCCTCCTAAGCTTAAGCGAACCGCGTTGACAGGATCAGGCGGAGGCCGACTCTGAATTTTTGATGCGAGCGTTTTTCCCAACCATCCTGTGAGAGAGCGCCCAGCGTCTCTTCTCCTCTTTCCTCCTCCCTCTCCTCCCTCCTCTCCCCCTCTCTGGCTCTGCCCTCACCAGTATGCAGTATGCGTCTCCCGCGCTTCGTGGCCCCAGAGGGAGCTCCACCGAAGGCCCCAGTGGCTGCACTCGCATGCGCTTCCCCCACCCAGTATAGCGCCTCGTGGCCTCATAGGGAGCTCCGCCGAAGGCCCCAGTGGCTGCACTCGCATGCTGTCTCCCCCGCCCAGTACAGCGTTTCGTGGCCCCATAGGGACTTCACCGAAGGCCCCATTGGCGGTGTTCGCATGGGGGACCCCTACCCAGGACAGTGTTTCGTGAGTACAGCGCTTCGTGGCCCCATAGGGAGCTCCACCGAAGGCCCCAGTGGCGGTGTTCGCATGCGTCTCCCCCGCCCAGTACAGCGTTTCGTGGCCCCATAGGGAGCTCAATTCAACGCCCCAGTGGCGGTGGTCGCACGCGTCTCCCCCACCAAGTACAGTACTTCGTGGCCCCATAGGGAGCTCAACCATAGGCCCTAGTGGCGGTGTTCGCATGCGTCTCCCCCACCCAGTACAGCGTTTCGTGGCCCCATCGGGAGATCCACCGAGGGCCTCAGTGGCTGCACTCGCTTGCGGGACCCCCACCCAAACGTCGTTCAGTGGCCCCATAGGGAGCTCTACCGAAGGCCTCAGTGACGGTGTCCGCATGCGGTTCCCCCACCCCGTGGCCCCATAGGGAGTTCCACCCAAGGCCCCAGTGGTTGCGCTCGAATGCGTCTCCCCCAGCCAGTGCAGCGTTTCGTGGCTCCCATGGGGATGTCCTCCGAATGCCCCAGCGGTGGTGATGTCCGCATGTGCTTCCCCCACACAGTAGAACGTTTCGCGGCCACATATGGGCGCTCCGCCAAAGGCCCCAGTGGTGCCCCCCCACCCCATTGCGGCCCACACCTGACACGGTTCGCGGCCCCCGAGTGGGTTCCGTGTAAAGCCCCAGTGGCAGCGCACACATGGTGGCCCCGCCCCACATCGACACACCCTTCGCACGCTTCATGGCTCCATGAGAAAATCCCCCGACGGCGATACCCGCAACGACAGTACCCACAACTACAGATGGTTGGGCCTTTCGCCAGGATAATGGTTCCTGGTTTCTGCCTCGGTGGCGTCGATCTGCTCGCACTGATCGAAGTCGAACGAGATTGGCCTTGAGAGGTATACTGATTCCTGGGCAGGACTGCAGGAGGAGAAGGGGTGGGGACGGGCGAGGACACCATGCGCGTGGTGAGCGGGGGAGAAGGATGATCACGTCGGGGGATGTTGCAGATGTTCATGTTATGCTGATGACGATGCGGATGATGATGATGCTGATGCGGACGATGATGCTGATGCTGATGATGCTGATGCTGCTGCTGCTGATGATGATGATGATGATGATGATGATGATGATGATGACGATGATGATGATGATGCTGCTGCTGATGATGATGATGATGATGATGCTAATGATGATGATGATGTGATGGTGAGGCTGACGGTAGTGTTGATGATGTTGCGGATGCCGTTGAGAATGATGATTATGTTGATGCTGAGGCTCCTGTTGCTGATGATAGCGATGATGCTGCTGCTGGTCATGATGATGATGCTGCTGATGATGATGACGATGATGATGAGTGTGATGATGGCTATGGTGATGTATGGTGACGATGACACTGGTGGTGGTGGTGGTGGTGATACTGCGAATGCTGATGCTGACGCTGGCGGCGATCATGGTGATGATGGTGATACTGATGACGAGGATGCTGATGCTGATGCTGCTGATGAGGATGCTGCTGCTGATGATGCTGATTGAGTTGATGATGGCGATGACGGTGACGATGATCATACTGATGATGCTGATGATGATGAGGATGTTGCTGATGTTGATGTCGATGATGGTGCCGATGTTGATGCTGATACTGAGACTGATGCTGATGCTGCTGCTGATGATGCTGATGCTGCTGATGATGATACGCATGCTGGTGCTGATGATGCTGATGATGCTGGTGATGACGATTCCGATGACGGCGAAGATTATGATGTTGCATCTACGGATGATGATGACGATGAGGATGTTGATGATCATGATGATGATGATGAGGTTGATGATGATGGTGATGATGATTGTGATGACTATGGTAAACATGATACTGCCAGTGCTCATGTTGGTGTTGATGAAGACGATGCTGATGACGATGGGCTGTCCATGATGCTGATGCTCATTATGTTGGTAATGCTGATGATGATTTCGGTGGTGATGATGCTGCTGCTGATGATGCTGATGGATATGATGATGTTGCTGATGCTGATGATGGGTGATGCTGTTGTTGATGACGATGGTGCTGCTTATGATGATGATGCTGATGATGATGGCGATTCTGATGATGTTGATGATGCTGACGGTGATGATGGTGATGCTGATGATGATGCTGATGCTGATGATGATGCTGATGAGGATGATGATGATGATGATGATAATGATGATGATGATGATGATGATGATGATGTTGGCGGTGATGCTGATGACGAGTATGCTGATGCTGGTGCTGATGATACTGCTGCTGCTGCAGCTGCTGCTGGTGCTGATGATGATGATTATGATGATGATGATGATGATGATGATGATGATGATGATGATGATGATGATGCTGATGATGATGATGATGATGATGATGATGATCATGATGATGATCATGATGATGATCATAATGATGCTGATGATTGTGGTTGGTGGTCGTAATCATGATGGGAAGCTGGTGCGACATCCAGCCGCCGCCCTAGGACTCTGTGGTACACCCTCGATTCTCTTTTCTAAAAAGAGGATAGACTCTACCCCCCCCCGGGCGTCATCCGTTCCCCTTTCGTGTATGTAAATCATGTATGATTCCCACCACATGTCCATCCTGAAAATTAATTCGCAATATCCCAGGGGGGCCAGGATCGGTCCCCATGAGGTTCCTTGGTAAAAAAGCAATACGCGGGGTCATTGTTTGTTCTAACATAAGACTTTTTCGCGAATCCCTTGCAAAACAAGACACGAAGTGCACACGCGCGCGTCGTCGCGCGCGCATGCCGAAATCCTTCAGAAACCTTCGGGTCGGAAGGATTTCGCAATCGAGTTTCCAAAATACATACAACAACACAGGGTTTCGCAACACTGATTTGCTAAAAAAGCTTACGCGCGAGCTCTTGCGAAATTTTAAGGAAACCATAGGTTTTTCAAGATTTTCAAAAAATGCTACCGAACGGGCTTCGCGCGCGCGCATGTCGAAATCTGTCGAACGCCCTTGCGCGTGTGCCGTCGCGAGAATCCTCTGCAAAACATGGGACGAAGTGCAGACGCGCGCGTCGTCGCGCGCGTATGCCGAAATCCGTCGCAACCCATCGGTTTCGGAAGGATTTCAAAATCGTGTGTCCAAAAAACCTACAGAAACACAAGGTTTCGCAACACGGATTTTCAACAAAAGCGTGCGCGCGCGCTCTTGCGTCGTCGTCGACGTCGTCGCCGTCCTCCCTCCTCCCACGTCGTCCCTCCTATTTCGTCGCCGTCGTCGTCGTCGTCGTCGTCGTCGTCGTCTTCCCTCCTCCCTCGTCGTTGTCGTCGTCGGCGTCGCCGTCCTTCCTCCTTCTTCGTCGTTCGCGTCGTCGCCGTCCTGCCTCCTCCCTCGTCGTTGTCGTCGTTGTCGCCGTCGTCGTCGTCCCTCCCTCGTCGTCGTCTTCGTTGGCGACGTCGTCGTCGTCGTCTCGTCGTCGTCGTCGTCGGCGTCGTCTTCGTCGTCGTCGACGTCGGCGTCGTCGTCGTCACCGCCGTCGTCGTCGTTGTCGTCGTCGTCGTCGGCGTCGTTGACGTCGTCGTCGTCGTCGTCGTCGTCGTCGGTGTCGTCGTTGTCGTCGTCGTCGGCGTCGTCATCGTCGTCGTCGTTGTCATCGTCGTCGTCGGCGTTGGCGTCGTCGTCGTCGTCGTCGCCAGTGTCGTCGTCGTCGTCGTCGTCGTC